AATTTAGACTTAATAAGATTGAATTTTTACTTTTTTTTGAAAATTCCAAAATTCCTTCTAGAATTATTCTTCTTATTGTTTCATCTTCCATGTCTAGCATGATTGATATTTTTTAAAAGCAATCATATTATGTTAAAAATTGGTCTATACTTTTTAAATCTGTATAATTTATTAAATTAGATAGAAAATATGACATTTCTTTGAAGATTTTAGAGTCCCCCTATTAAAATTATCTAAATAGGGCTTTTAAGAGTGAATCATTTTTGAGAATTTAGTTCACTTAATCTGAAGTACCAGCAACAATATTAGACAAAGACCAACAAACCTTAAATATAAACTTGATTTTACTTCTCTTTAAATTACTTCACTGTAATTTTATGATAGTAACATTTCAAACGGTTTTAAGACTCCAGTGTTCAAAACCTTAGCTGTTTACACTTCATTTCCTGTCAAAATGTTTCCTATAGTCTTTAAAGCTGGAATTATAAGAGATTCATTTTTGGAATTTAGTAATAAAGTTAATTTTTGAATAACTGGTGGTTTTATTGAAAAATATTATTGGCCATCATCATTATCGCTTAAATAATTCAATCCCCAACAAGCATACATTATCTGGGTTTCATCTTCAATTGAAGATAATAGTTCTAAATGAATTTATGTTAATAACTTACTAGGCTATTTTCTCAAATAAATAATATACCTTAATGATAATAGGTTTTTATTTTGCTAAGTTAGCCATAGTCCATATGATTAATGTAAAAATATCTGGATTATTCAATTGATAGCATGGAGCTAATTTGAGTAATTGTTCAAAAATTCTTTCTCTATAAGCATATTTCTAAATTAAACACTTTCGCCAGAAATCTTAGCTAAAATGCAAATTACGAATTCAATGATTTCATCAAGTTAAGATTCATGAATTAAGAGAAGGATATTATTTCCATTATTAACAATAATATTTTACATTTCTTATTATGTTACACACACAATATTATCAATAATCCAAAGTGCTTCATATTACAACAATTGAATCTTGCTGTTTATGGCTATTTGAAAAATTGCAATTGATAAATTATTTTGAAGTAAAATTTCAATTAGTTATTCTCTTATTAATGCTAATTGAGAATTATTCAATAGTTTTCGATTTTTATTTAGCCCTTAATATTAGATATTTAGGTCATTAGAATGAACTTAAGTGATATATTCTTATAGCTTATCTAAATCTGCTTCTTCATTGAATAAATTTTCTACAGAATGTTTAAGAGCATATTTGAGTTCTTCAGTTAATGAGTCTGGTATTAACCTACACAATTTTTTATATTTTTTTCTTTTATTGCACAATTAGTTATATTTTAATCATCCATTTGATAATATTAATCATTGGCATTAATTTTGAGATAAATCTGATAAATTTTTTGTTCAAATTCAAAATTTACAAGTTTGCTCACAAATTTTTAATTAAACTGAAAATTTAATCAAACTAATAAAAAAAAGCATAGTAATAATAATTTATTTGGTTTCTAATAGAAAAATTGTATTGAATTTCTATGAACTACAACTCTTTTTTCTGGTGAAAAGTAAGTTGCAAGCATTACTGAAATAGAAAATGAAAAAAATAATTCATTAGCCTTAATATTCTCTTCAATAAGATTAATAAATTTATAAAAATAAATTAATTCTTATTAAATCAATGATGCTGAAAATTTATATTATTTTAGTCACTTTGTTTATAGTGAATTTTTAATTGGCTGCTAATTAAATGTGTAAGTAAAGATAGCCAAGATTATACTCAATCCTTAGGGAAAATATTACAATGTACTAAATTAGAATAGAGGAGGCATAATCTCATCTAAATTATGAAATAGCTTTGCAGGAGGTATTTAAGGCAGTTGTATGCGTGATAACAAAAACTACAAACAATTATATATAATGTCAACTGAAATACTTATAATGTTGGGCTTCATGTTATAAAAGTTGAAGCTTACTATAAACTACAAAGAATCTGTGAAATTTAAAATTAAATTGAATATATTAATTAAATAGTCATCTACCATCTCAGCTTGATAAAACGCAAAAGTATTATCTCTCAAACTTGTTTCGCTTTTATGACCTGAGGGATATTTTATTATTTATAATGATGATGACGAATAAGAGTTGTAATTTTCAACTAAATTATTTTTTCAAATTATACTGCAAAATTTTAATCATTAAGAATGTTAGTTATTGGATATGAAATTAAAATAATCTAAATTTTATTCTGCCCGATTCATTTCGTAATGAATATTGGTGTTATTTTAATTATTAAATGTTATCACTTTTATGAAAATGTAGAAGTGATTTCTATGTTTAAAGTCAGTTGAGTTTTAGAATTTAATATCATAAACTGGTTCGAATATATTGTTAATAACTTTTTTAACTAATCAATAATTTAATATTTGTAATTGTTTTGTTTATAAACAGAAAATTTTGGTAGATCTTATTGATATTCCTCTATTATTTTGAACTTGTGGGTACATTCAATGGTTCATGAATTAACACATTAGAAGCTGTAAACTTTAAGAATAGGAGCATGCATTTAGTGCATCAAGTATAATAGCATATCTTCAATTAGTAGAAGAATAAACAGTAGCTATAGAGACAGCGTTTTATAAATCATGCAAAGGATTAATACTTCTTAACTGCGGTACAAGTTTATGCGAGCAATAATTTGAACATTGACTCCAAGAGGGATTGTGGTGGGGCAAACAAAATCCACAAAAATACATAACTAACACGACGCATGCAAGTTTATGAACAGTCTCTCCAATTAAAGCATCAGTAATATACAAATAAAGACGAATAGAGTTGTGGATTACAATTCAACGCTTGGTCTAATATATTTATAGCTTCATTATACTTACCCAAAATTCTTAATGATTCACCTATATTGAAAAAGGATAATTACCTTTAGTGCATAATGAGCTGACATTCTTTAAATCTATTGACAAAGCTTTATCAGTCTAAGCAATTGCATTAAAATAATCTCCAAGCATTTTTATATTCAATGATAATCACAAATTCTTTACTTCAAGCAATGAGCTATTACATTAATATATTAATTGTTTACCTTTTCTACTTAATGAATTGAAATGCTTTGAATCTATTACAAAGTTTTATCAGCCCATATAATTGCATCATTGTAATTATAAAGCATTTTTACATTTAATCATATTCATAATAATTCCTTAAACATTCAATTAATACATTTATTGCTGAATTAAATACCGTTAAAATATAATGAATTAATATGATTTGAATTTATGATTAATCCAGCATCAATGGACTTTATTGCTTCCCCATATTTACCCTCCCCTAATATATGATGATTTTACTTAATGATTTAATAGTTTATATCCTACATTAATCATTTAATATCTTTTTAATAAAATCCTTCAACTTTTTCTTGCTCTTTTTTATTTATCTAAGAATTAATTATGTTCATGATAAACATCTTCAATTAATTCTTGATTTTGGTGTAGTTTCAATTCTGTAATAATTCTTTATATAATCTGTACATTTCTTTAACTCCTCTAATAAAACTGTTTTAATTTCATAATATTTAATCACTTAACCTAAGACTTAATTCAATTGATTTGCATTCAAACACAATAGCTCCACCTTAGAGAGAATTGATATTTTTTCTTCAGTTCTTAATTTAATTAAGTAAATAGTCCATTTATTTAATCAACCATCAGAAGTATCTATTATATTAAGCATTCACTTTCTTCCTTAATTTAATGAAAAATTTCAATTAGTTCTTAAAATTCTTTTAATCCTTCATCCATTCTTAAGACATTAATGACAATAAATTCTATTTGCTTTACATAATTAATTAAAACAGGCTAATTATACTTAATCATTTCCTTGAATTGAACATTAAATCCAAAGTTGTCTGACTCATATACATTATTCTTATATCTAATTCAATAAAATTATATTACTAATAAAAAATTTTATGTATGGAATTAAAACTGTGTGATTAAATATCCTATCTTGTAGTAGTTGATTTTAATGTTTTTAGTATTCTATTAGTAAAGTGTAATATTTTTTATTGTTAGTTACTTTGTAGAAAGGAGATGCAAAAATGTTTTATTTAAGATTACTTCATTTATTTCACGTTCATCTTTTCAAATAAACGAAGGCCTTAAAATAACAGAATAACTAAAATTATCATTAAAGCAGTTTAAATAATAATATAAATTCTATTAGACAATCTCACTCATTTTGACCATTAGTCATGTTTTATCTAGTAGGATAAAATAATTTAAATTCTACATCACCATTAAAATACATTTTTTATAAATTATTGTACTAAAATTACTATTTAATAAAAACTATTGTAAAGACAAATTTAAATATTTTTTTTCATCATTTTTTTGAATCTAATGGTTTATAAATACTTAAGAGTTCATTCAAAGGGATTTATTTAGTTGTTG